ACAGCTCCTTCTCTCACCTGAGGTGAATCTTCTCCAATCCAGCATCTGCAAGGTCATCATTTGCCCTCTGGTGAATGTCTCTTTGGGTTTCAATCTTGTGATCATCAGATAAACCATCCACTTTATGAATAAAGATTTCAAAGTTGATGTCTGGATTCACTTTATAAGCTCTGGTCACAGTGAGATGCAACCTAGCCAAGGCCTCCATATAATCATCCTAATAACGGAAATATAAAACCCAAAACCCTATGACAAACAGTTACAAGACAAAAAGCTAAGTTTTATATGATACTAGTGGATACTTCTACATTCAAAATTCCTTTACTTTAAACTTCTGAGATTATCTATTATCTGCACAGAAGTCCAATTGCCACTAGTACATGCAAGGAACCAGAGACCTTTAAAGCAGACTAGTTGTTTTTTGCATTTAAAAGAAAAACTAAAACTAGGTTTTGAACCTTTATTTGCAAAAGCAAAAAAAAAAAAAAAAAAAAAAAAAAGGTTAAAAATAACCAATTCTGTCAACTTAATTGTAATTAGTGGTTAAAGTTTTCAAAAGCACTTAGGTCCCATTAAAAGACAACAAAATGTAGGCTCTTAGCCCATGGTGTCCAACATGCTAGCAACTAGCCACATGTGGCTATTTGGCTTGAACAACATGGCTATTTGGCTGGCTGAGTGTGGCAAGTTCGCTACAACTACTGCTTCAGAACTGGCTGGACACACAGCTCTAAGTCCTATTGAAAAGAAATTTGACTGTCTCTGTTTGATATTCCATTTGTCTACAGCTGGAGGAGAAAAAAGACTAACATATACCCTGAAAAACACCCTTATACTTTTCTCTTTACCTGAGAATCTATGACAAATATCAGTGCTCCAGTTCCTCTGAAAATCATCTCATAATCAAAAGTAGGGTCAAAGAAGTCAATTTGCCCAGGAAAGTCCCATATCTGAAAGTTAACAAAGGAGCTGTTGGAAACATCCTCTCTGCAGATCTTGTTAGTGCTCTCCAAGAAAAGGGTTTCATTTGGAGACATTTTGTGAAAGACAACTTTCTGAATGGACGACTTTCCACTTCTTCTCAGTCCCATGAGTAGGATTCTTGGCTTAACTTCAGTACTGAAGGGGTCACTGAAATCCAGAACTGAATAAACCACACAATAAGCAGGGATAAATTACAATAGTAGTATTCATATTAAATATAATATTATATGCACCTTCTATTTACTTACATTTTACAATGTTAATTACACAACTTTATTTTACCTACATTTTACATCTGCATCTGGACTACAACTGTCAGTTTCAGAAAGTAAAAGAAATATATTAAAAAATAAGATTTTATTCCCCATTTTCAACTACAGTTTGAGAACCTAAGATTTCTCATCTGAAAGAAGATGAAGGGTATGCAGGGCAATATATCTGGGGTAAGAGCTATTTTGTAGCATCAAACATACATGTTCACACAAAAACAAACTCTTCATACCTCTCACAACCTAAAAATATCTAGGTCTAATCTTCATTATAAGAAGATACAATATTTTTGCAGGTATGTGTTTGTGGAGTAATAGAAATAACATTCAGCATAATAAATTCCAGCATCCAGTTAGGGACTGTACACCCTTACACCACTCCCCTGCTGTTGCTTCACTATTTATCTTACTGCTCACTGATGCACTCTATGTAGCATGAATGCTCAGCAGCTCTATAATGAGAATTTGGTATGTTACTATTACACTGTAATTGTCACCAGAACAGAGGCCATAGATCATACCTATCAGTGCTGACAATTTTGGACTTGATATCACAAATCTTCATGTGCAGAACTCTGACTGAAGAAATCTCAGCTCTGATGAACAGTTGGGACGTGAACAGGTAATCAGTTAACTAGTTACCCAATAAGCCTCACTCTTAATGGGTGAGGCTTACTGGGTAACAGTAACCGTTACCCGGGAGCAGCCCTGTGAGGTTGCTGGCTCCCAACCTGCACAGGCTAAGAGTTGGAAGCCTGGGGTGGGGGGCATGGAATCAGTTGGGGACTGCCGCATCTGCCCAGCGACAGCCTACTGACTGCTGGGGGCTGGCTTCACTCCCCTCATCTCCCCTGATGCTTCTGTCCAGCCCACGAGCCTGCATGGGTTAGGAGCCAGCAGGTTTCACCCTCCATTCCTCATGAGGCTGCCGTGGGCGCTGGGAACTGAGCTGTCCCTGCCCCTGGTACAGGCGCCCCTCTGACCGCCCTGTTTAATCAGTTTGGGTATGTCTACACTACAAAGTTAGTTCGAACTAACGTCCGTTAGTTCAAACTAACTTTCCTAGGCGCTACACTAGCGCTCCGTTAGTTCGAACTTAATTCGAACTAACGGAGCGCTTAGTTCGAACTAGGTAAACCTCATTTTACGAGGACTAACGCCTAGTTCGAACTAGCTAGTTCGAACTAAGGGCTGTGTAGCCCTTTAGTTCGAACTAGTGGGAGGCTAGCCCTCCCCAGGTTTCCCTGGTGGCCACTCTGGCCAACACCAGGGAAACTCTATGCCCCCCTCCCGGCCCCGGACCCCTTAAAGGGGCACGGGCTGGCTACGGTGCCCGTGCCAGGTGCAAGCCTGCCAGCACCCAGCTAGCAGACCCTGCACCTGGCACGGCACAGAGCCACCCACCCGATGCCCCCCAGCCCACCCCC